ATAGCATTGTTCCTGCGGAATGATCCAACTTATAAATTGCCCAATGGTTTTACGTGATATTAGTTTATACTGTACCAAATTTCAGCACATTACCATAAATAGTGTTTAAGATATTTAGAAAAATGTGTTAAAATTTCATAACTTTGATGGCCTGTATCTTCGAAATTTGAGGACTTTTACTAATTTTTTTTACATGAATCGTCATCATTTTCACTCTAGTATATGTGGTTAAATTTGTTCCCCGAGTCACCGAAACACCCTGTATAAAATACCTCGTCATTTCCATACGGTCTATGCCATCTAGACCGTATAGATACCGCCTAGCCGTATACTTACGGTCTGATTTCATGTACGGCCTGTAACATATACATCAAAATTTTTGATATAACAAACTTTTGGCTATAACGAACACTCCGATTCCCGTATTAATCCGTTATATCGAGTTTTAACTATAATTAATTTTTTTTTTGCCCAAAGTTTTTGGTGGTAACTAATTTAGCCCCGACAACAGTATAACATTTCAAGGGTGAAGTCAAAACGCCCCCTTTTTTAGGGAAACCCATAAATCATGGGGTGAATAAATTTGTAATTTTTTTTTCTTATTTTTTTTTATACCCATAGAAAAGTTATCCGAAGAAGGTGGAAATGGTTCCGATTGCGACTCCGAACCAGGGATCCAATTAAAAAGGAAACAACGCCGATCCCGCACAACCTTCACCGCTCAACAATTAGATGAATTAGAACGAGCTTTCAATAAAACCCAATACCCCGATATTTACACGCGAGAAGAATTAGCCCAAAAAACGAATTTAAGCGAGGCTCGGATTCAAGTTTGGTTTAGTAATCGAAGGGCGAGGATGCGAAAACAAGTTGCTTCAAACACCGGTTCGTACCCGTTAAGCGGAAATGGTTACCCGGTGCAAAATTCGAATGCTTCATCATCGCCGTATGGGTTGAATCAACCTGATTTTGGGCATTCGCCCCCCCATAATAACAATTCAAGTAAGATTTTTAATTAATTCCACAATTTGGAAATGAAATAATTTTAATTTTAGTGATGGATTTGTACTCGGTGAATCATCCAACTTATTCCCCACCTCCAATGTATTCAAACGGAAACGTCCACGGATTTATGCCAATCGGGCAAAACATGAACCCCCCGTTGGCGAACGCGATGAATTCGATGCCCAATATCCCCAATAATATGGTTTATGGAGCACGAGGGGACCAACTTTGTTCTTCACCACCAATTCCCGTCTCAATGTCTGCTAATTATAACGCTAATTTACCTCCAACTTCAAATCATAGCGTTATTGGGCCACATAGTGGTAATTAACACAAATTTCTTATTATATTTATTAATTTTAATTAACAAAAATTTTTGTTTTAGGTGGTAGTAGTAATAGTAATCAAGGATCACCAAATACCGATTTAAATAATTTAAACACAACTGGAGCAGGATGGAATAGTCGAGAAAGTAGTCCAATTGAGCTTCAATCCAGTTTAATGAGCGGGCAACAATCGGGAAATATGACCCATTTAAATGGGCTAAGTCAATTCGCGCAGCCGATTAGTATTCCTCAAAGATTAAGTTCTTTTTCACATAATTCCCTTCACGGTTACGGTGCTTCACCGAAATCCTACGCAGCCCCATCCGTGTACACCCTGTATAGCTGTTAACGTTTATTTAAAAGAATTTTGTTATAAAATTAATTTCGAAATTTAAATGTTCAATTTATTATATAAGTGTTTTTCCTGTATATATTAAATGTGTAACATATTAAATTAAATTAATGAAAATAAAGTGGGATTTAATTGAAGAACTTTTCCTACTCGATGATCAAAATAACTCGCGCTAACTTTTATCAAAGTCAACTTATTTTTTTGTATATAATTAAAAGGTGCACTAACAACTATAGCATTCCATTTAAAATAACAATGTTGTGGTGTACTTAAAATCATTATTTGGATCACCCGGCATAATTTTTTACTTAGCCGAGTTTCAAACCAACTCAGCAACGAAATTAATCCCGTTTAGTTAGGGAATTAAATGATAGATGGCAATCTTAAATAAGTGGATTTGAAACTCGATTAAGAACAAATTATACCGTGTGATTCAAACAAAGTTTTTGTTTTGTTTGAGAAAATTGTTATTATAACTTCAATTTTTATTGGAATCATCCGGTACAATTTCTTACTTAGCCGAGTGTCGAACCAACTCAGCGACCAAATTAATCCCATTTAGTTCGGGAATTAAATGATAGATGGCGATTTTAGTTAAATTTGAGTAGGTTAGAAAGTAGGCTAAGAAAAGATTATACCGGGTGATTCATATATAATTTTTGTTTCGATACCAAAAAATCGAAATCTCAAAATAAGAAATGGCACAATCGTATTTTTACTTTCTATTCAATGCCAAGCTTGCTGATTGTATCACAAACCAATTAAACATTATGAAACATTAGTAGTGTTTCTTAAAAAATAAATATACAGGGTGATGAAATATACTTGCCCACGTTTCCTATTTTCTCATACATTTTACGACGAAGTTGGTGTATTCTATTGCTGAAAGGGTGGAAGTTATCTTCATTTATGGTGCCGAGCAATGTGCACGTGCAACAGCAAGGATTTTTAGTCAAAGACACCCAAATAAACATATGGAGCATAAATACGTTCGCGAACTTATGCAAAAATTTAAAGTAACTGAATCGATAGAGAACAAGAAAAGGCATACTAATAAGGTAGTAGATGAACTGGCGAAGATGGAAGTAATTGCAAATTTTACCATGGAGCCAACCAGTTCTTTGCGTCAGGTTGCAGCATCCACCGGACTTTCTTACTCGTCGGTACGCAAAGTGACAAAGCTGCATAAACTTCGCCCTTACAAGATACAAATATTGCAAGAACTTAGCGAGGGCGATTACAACCGACGTCTAGAATTTTGCGAAACAATGACCGAAATGATCATTGCGAATCCAAATTTAGTAAAAAATATTTGCTTCAGTGATGAGTGCACTTTTTACTTAAATGGACATGTGAACAAGCATAATATACGATATTTACTATACGATATTATACTCAGAGACCTCAAAAAATTAATGTTTGGGCAGGAATACTAGGTAATTCAATAGTTGGACCCATATTCATTAATGAAACGCTAAATGGTGACGTGCACTTGAATATGTTGGAGAACATCATCGATCCTCTAATAACTGAAAAATTGGAAAACCAGCTTGATGAAGAAGGTAATCAAGTACTCGATGAACATCAATTGTTCTTCCAGCAGGATGGTTCAATACAATTTTTGACCTTCCTGTATAAGATACTCCGATACAATAAATGACAATCTATTTGACAACATCTGAAGAGTAATCGTGCCCACGTAGATCTTTTTTGAATGAACGTTGGCTGGGATATAGGGTTTTAAAGAGCATGGTGAAATTTGCCAAAAAAACCTTAAAATCAAAATAACTCGAAAACGAAAAACGCTAGGTACCAATAACTTTTATCAAAGTCAACATATTTTTTTACGTACAATTAAAAGGTACAACAAAAACTATAGCATTCCATTTAAAATAACGAAGTTATGGTCTACTTCCGGTAGACCGGAAGTGGCAGCCATCTTGAAAATATTTTAGATCGTAAGTTCCCCATAGTACCAAAATTTCAAAACTGTACGAATACTGGAACCTAAAAAAGTTCTAACGAACCCTTACGTGAGACACCTGTATAGTAATTAAAACTATAAAAATACTCAAAATTTACATATCGTCAATATTATAATTTAAAAATGCTTGTGTGGAATAAAACGCATTTTTTAACAGGAATATTTTTAACCGTGCCTTGATTCCAGCGGAAGGTAACTCATGTAACCGTCGAGGTAATCTATTAAACAGTTTTTGGCCTATATACAAGGGCCCGCTCTGGGTGCTTGACAGTTTGAAAAAGTCTGGGCAAAGATTTTCTCACCCTCGTATATTGTGAGAATGAATATTAGAATGTTCTCTGACCAAATTACGATTCTCCATAAAGTACATAATACAACGCAATAAATATACAGGTGTCCCGAAACTCAACGTCAAGCGGGTACCGGGTGGGAGGCCAACTCATACCTGTTCTGGTAAAAATGAGAAAATAATTCCATGTCTCTTAGTTAAGTGGTAATAGACATACTTTTGAAAATGTTAAAAATCGGCCCTGTACACCATATCTTTAGGTACTACAGTCAGAAATGTTCGCAATTTAATAGTGATTTTTTTAATAATGTATTCCTTGTGAACCATGCTACTGTAGAAATCACAAATCAAACAACAAAAATCGTTAGTTTTGCAAAAAAAATATATTAATTTGATTGAGTTAAGGTTGAAAGAATTTATGTCTATCAAGTTTGACACACAATTTCTAAAAAAAGGAGTAGTACAATACCCTTGGCAAGTAATTTTAAAAGATGGCCTGTTTAGTCAAGTTTCCAAAATGGTACAACACTTGCCATTTTTCATGTCAAAAAAAATATTATTGCCTGTTTTTCTGCAAAAAAAACACGTTACTTAAAAAAATTCATACTTTTGTATGTTATTTGTATTTCCTCCAAAATGATTTAACTTTGTTAGAAGATGTATTGTACTCAACATCTATAGAGAAATGTGGTTTCAACAAGATGGGTGCCCCGCTCATTATGCTTGTCCTGTACGGGATTGCATATGAATCTGTCGTAATTTAGATTAGATCAAGTTATTATGATTATTATCATCAAGCAGCCCTCTGCGTCCATTGTTGGACATAGACCTCCCCTATTCTGTTCCATTTGATTCTATTCTATGCTGTCTGAATCCAATTGTTGGTCATTCTTTTGACGTCTACTTCGTCTGTTCGCTCGCGGTCTCCACTCAAGCAACCGTTTTGTCCACTGCTCATTCTTCATTTGCGCGACATGACCCGCCTCGTTCCACTTAAGCTGTACCACAATGTTAACCACATCATTTACGCCAGTTCTTCTTCATAGGTCTTCATTTCGTATGTAATCCCTCAGAATTAGACCCAGGATCGACCTCTCCATCTATCTTTGCGTTACTTGGACCCTCCTGACAGTGGTTACCGTTAATGTTAAAGTTTCTGAGGCTTACGTCATAACCGGAAACACGCATTGATTGAAAGCCTTTCTTGGCCTTTTCTCTTGAAGATATCTCTAAGTTTCCCGTAGGCTGCCCATACGAGTGTGGTCGTTTTGTTTAGTTCGCTTGTTTGATTATCTCTCGATACACGATATACATAGCTGTGAACATTCTCAATCTCATTGTTTACCTCCTTCGTCGTTCACCATTATTTTAATCTCTTCAAGGTTATCCGATATAAGAACTATATTCCGAGTAGCGCAAATTATTTAAACATTTGCAATCAATGTTTATGCCTTTTTGGGTCCAATCCAGTTGTTTAAATGGACTATGATGAACAATTTGGGTTCAACAGTGTCTCGCCTTGTTTTACTCACAATCAGTACCTTACTACTTTTACTCTCTTCACTACTTTCATGAAATTTTACCGTCATTGTAGCATTCTTGTAGATGTTATAAATAAGTTTGGTATATCGATAAGCGACTCTGCATTCTTGAAGTGCTTGCAAAACTGCCATCAACTCAATTTAAATTAAATTTTATAAATACCTCTAAATACCCATCTTGCCCATACACTGCCCATAATAGGGAGAACTTATAGAAGTTTTTTCTTCTAGCGCATAAGATTCGTAGCATTGTCTCTCTCCAGGAATTTTATTGATTTTTATACGCTCCAATCGTACGTTCAAATCTGAGTGACGTACTTTGGAGTTCACACCTGTAGTTTCAAACTTTATTATTTTTTTTTTTGGAAAAACTAAATCTCAGAATCAAAAATTAAAAAATATAGGGTCAATCAATTTTAAAATACTTTCGAATAAGCCAGTACAAAAAAATACTTAACAGCCCTATTGGATGGTGTTCAAATACTTTTTTGACCCACTGTACATAAATGAATTCGAAATTTGTTGTACTTACCGGAAAGAATTGAAAATAAAACGAAACCACGAGATTTTAACCGAGTGAAGCACTTAACCATCTCTATTAAACGATTTCTTAGCAAATAAACCACTTTTTCTCTGATAAAATTTAAGTAAAAACGAAGAATTTAAGACAGTTATGTTTGTTTGTATTCACTTTGCTTGAGTACCAACTGTTAAATAATTAATAATTCTTAAAATGCTTAAAAAGTTAATGGCGACATCTACGAATTATTAGGTGAAGTTAATTAACCTAATTTATTAAATTCCAATTTGTTTAAATATTTTGATTTAATTAAAGCGGTTGTTTAAAAAACTTAACCTCAATATCATAAATTAACCTTTTTTTTAATTTAAATAAATTAAAAATACTTACAGTTTGGGCTACAAACTTTTGAAGAAAAATCCTCCATAAACCTAATTATTTAAATAAATAACTAAAGGTATTAAGATTTATTTTAAAAAACTTACCGAAAAGTTCCAAGTTTAAGTAGATTCGAAAAATCGAATTTTCGCGAAACCAAACCATTTTTCTCATTAATTTAAGCCAAGCTAAGCACTTAACCATCTCAATTAAACCATTTTATACCCAAAAAAACCTTTTTTTTTTTGTTAAAATTTAAGATAAAAATTAAGACAAATGCGTTTGTTTGTATTCACTTTTCCTCAACTACCAACTGTCAAAAAATTAATAACCTGCATATTCTAAAACACAATTTATTAATCTTTTTGTTTAATTTATTTATTTATTAAAATAATCGATTATAATCGTAAAAATTAATCGATTTTGTTTTAATAATCTAAAACGATTTAAAAATAAATCAATTTAAAACTAAAAGCGACACCTATGATTTAAAAGTCGAACTTAACCCAACATAAATTAAAGTGAGGTTAAATTACAATAAATTTAAAAATAATTAATTTATTTTTAATAATATTAACACAAATGCAATAAAATTTCTATATTTGGAATAACAAAATCTAAAACGTTCGTTTATAAATGCAGATTTAAATCGACCATTAATTATCTCTACGATTTATTCCCAGTGATCAATTTACTGGCATCAAAAATGATTCCAAGGGTACGTTTTCGTTTATTACCATCTTTTCCGGGGGCTATTTCGTAAAGATCGTTACCTGGAATGATTACACTAATTAGGATTTTTTTTAATTTTTATTTTAATTTTTTTTTACAAACTTTACAAACTCACCGAACAATTTTATGATACAAAAACAATCTTAAACTGTTCGTCTTTTTAAAAAAAAAAGTTAATTGTAGGCATTAATAATAAGAAACTACTAATTGGGTTATAAAGATGCCCCAATTATAATTTATGCCACATAATCAAACTGACATTACTCTAAATTTATTTTAAGTCTTATTCCAGTACTCACTTCTTACTTTTAAGCTTTTCTGATTGTTCGTCGAACTCAGGATCTTGAATATTCAACATCAAGCTGTTTCCACTTAAATAAACTTTGTTTTGGGAATTTGCAATCTTAAAATAAGGGATTTGTTAAGATTTAATTTAAATTTGTTATTATTTATTACCGTTCTAGAAATATTTTGAGCAGCCCGAATTTTCCTTAGCTTTAAATACCCTGGATTTCGCCCAATAGCTTCCCCCAACATTTTAGCAGCTTCAGCTTCACCCTCAGCTTGGACAATTTTTTGTTGGCGTTCTTGTTTGGCTCTTTCAACCACAAAAGCGGCTCTTTGCGCTTCTTGTTGTGCTACTTGTTTCGATTCAACAGCTGCTGTGTACTCCTTTCCAAAAGATAACTCAGTAATGGAGACATCATCAAGAATTATGTTAAAATCCCTCGCTCGATCCACCAATTCTCTTCTAACCAACAAAGAAACTTGTTGTCTCTGAGTTATTAATTGCGCGGCGTTGAATTTGGCAACAACCGACTTTAAGACTTCATTACAAATTGATGGTAACACTTTTTCGTCGTAATCGAGCCCTAATTGGCGATACATTTCAGGGAGTTGTTGGGCGTCGGGTCTTGAGAGAACTCGAAGCGAAATATTAACCATTTGGAGATCTTTTGAGCCTGTAGGGGATGCAAGTTTCCTTGGGCGAGATCTAAACCAAAGAAATCATTAATTTTTTGTTGTAATTTGGATTAATTGAGTGAGTACCGGATATCATAAATAATGGGGTATTGAAACCAAGGGATTCGAAAGTGTAATCCTTCGGTGTAAATTTCATTTTGGACTCCTCCTATTCTATTGAACATAATCGATCGGTGTCCACCTTCAACTAAAACAGAAAAAATTAATAAAATTAATAAAATAAAATTTTTGAGGTTAGATTTTTTTTTGAAAAAAAAAGGAAAAACCCAAAAAAATTAAAATTTTTAAATAAACGATTAAATAATCGCGTTTAATATTAATTGATTCAATTAAATCGTTTAATTATTAATGTATACATAAGATGAATTAATTAAATTAATAAAATAAAATGTTTGAGGTTAAATTTTTTTTGACGTAAAAGTGACATAACCTCAAACTTAAAAAACCGCGTTTTTTTAATAAAAAATTACATAATCGAGTTTAATAACGTTAAATGATTTAATTAAATCCCTTTTTTGTTAAATATTTACCTGTATACATCGATTGCGAGACTCCATAAGCGGTTGCGGCGCCGAACGCTAAAAGTTTCAACCCCAAATTTAACCCCGGTGGGCCCCCCTTGCCGAATTTTCCGGCCAAATCGTTCAATTTGCTTTGTGCCATCTTCGAAAAGGGCTAAATTGGATTAAAATGAAACGAGCCGGTTTATGATGAAACAACGTGATTAATAATGGTGGACACGTTCTAAAGTGCGCAAACTCGACCATGTGATGAATATTTGACATAATCATGTCAAAAATAAAAATTATTTATTAATTTATTAATTTATATTGAATTGTTTCGAATTAATTAATGAATAATTAAATAAGTCGGTAAATAAAAATTAAATTTGATGTAATGATTAAATTTAATTTGGTGATAATTGGGTTGCCTACATTTTTGACAGAAAAATATAAATTTACGATTTGACTTTGATTTCCTTAGGGCAGAGACCTTTCTAGAAAGAATACGGAATCGGGAAATGGCCCCAATAACCTGAATAAACATGCAGCTTGCGCCAGAGACGAGAGGTATCTCACGTATGCCGCGGCGGGTTATTTGGGGTAATCGTATTAGAATTTACGATTTTCTGCGTTCGTAAACAACACCAATAATCGTGGCGTAATATTGCATAAAAACGGTTCTTTTATTAATTTCTTTTCTAAGAAGCTATTTATGTAGAAAGTTTTTACGAAATAATTTTTCTTTTTACGAATTTGGTAACAATTAGAATCAACCATCTTGACATAACCAATTTTAATTTGACGTTTAAACGTCAAATTTTTATGTTAATTAAAATGTGTTTTATGTTTTAGGAAGAAAATGTTCCGAGAAACGGATCGATTAAATATGCATGTATTCGGCAACCGGGAGAGAAATTGCCTTCCGAAAACTCGCCTTGTTACTTGGAATCGATAAAAAGTAGTACAAAAAGATGCTTCTTGCGTCAATGTTTTTTAATTCTTCAAAACAACCTTCGAAAGGGATTTGTTTCAATCGATTCACTTTGGTGGTTGACATTGCTCTCATGGTCGTCGGTTGCAGTAGAATTTATGGGATGACGCCGAAGAACTGGGTCAAAATCCTGTCTTGAAACGCGTCTTCCTTCGGTTGCAGTCTTCGTCTACTAAGTAATGTGGGTCAGTGTATCCCCGATAATTGAAACAAACACCTTCCGAAGATGAAGCGTCGCCTCCCTTCCCGTGTCCTTCTCGGCCCCCCGCAACAAGAACAGCAGGAAATCGAAGCGGAGGAAAACAACAACAACGCCAGATTCAAGGGCACGGTGCTGACGCGTTTTACCCACAACAAGATCCCGACGACGACGAGCGGATGTTGATGGCTGTATGCAAAGTAGAATTGCATCGCGTTTCATTCATTGGATTAAAGATAGGATGGTTACAATCTCCAGCAAAAGAGAATGCCTCAAAATAAAGCTGGAGATGAGATTTTTGTGCATTTGTGTACAAAATTGCATTAAAAAACACATTTTCTCAATGATACTGAATTAATCGGCGCTTATTTTTAGATGTAGATTTACGAGACGAATTAAGACGAAAAGAAATTTAAATCCTATGTTAAATAATCTCTCTTTTCGGAAAGAAATATAAATCGCGCGTTGACGGTGCATCGATTTTTTATACAGGAAGAAGTCGAAATTCCGGCGCGATTCGAACATCTGAGCTTATGAAAAATGCATGTTTTCGACCGCTTATTCCGCCTTTTTTTATTTTCGAGGGGGCACTCGTATTTCCTGTTTTGTAAATTAATTTCGATCTAAATTCAACGTAAAAAAGCAACATAGAAAGAAATTGAAAATAAAACATAAAAATAAATTTTGATTTTAGAGTTCCCTTCGAATTTGAATGAATAATTCCGAAATTCGGTTAAAAACGAGAGAAATTACCATTGACCCGTCAAATGGTCCGAAAAATGGTTCACCTTCGTGTCTCCTTCACCTTCACCGTCACCGTGGACGAATTTTGCCTCCCAAATCTCGGGCGAAAAAATCGAATTTAAATTGCGCATGTTTGATGGGAAACTGTTAAAACTAATCGGAATCTAACGCTAACACGTTTCTAGTGGTGACCGGATGGTGAAAAACGCTCACTCAAAACGTATAATCTAATCTTTTTCTTCGGCCCTCTGAGCACCAAAAACCGTGTGAATCGATCTGAGTCGATAGATCCAGATCGGCTTTTTCCCCACGTTTACACGCAGACATCCTGGCGCAGAGAGGATCCCACAAAACCGGGTTTTAAACGCAAAAAAATAATAATTAAAATCTTATCAAATATAATTTAATAAGAAGAAGAAGAAGAAGGGCAGGTGGTCACGACACCACTCAATTTCTTCTTCTTTATAATTTCATATTTTTCATCTTCTTTGGTTCGTGAAAAAGTTGCGGGGCCTCCAATTACACCGAAAATCGGTCCCCGAATTCGATAACTTCGCATTAATTGCTATTCACTTGAGAGAGTACTTGGTCTTTTTTGATTTTTTTCGGGGGCGCGCTTAAGAACTCGTTTCGTTTGGTTTCAACGACGAAAACAAGAAAATTGCGTCGACCACTACAAAGTCATTTAATCATTCAGCTCAAGATTACAACAAAATCTAAGAAATAACTCTAATTTGGTCAAAATATCAAATTTTAGATTGATTTTTTAAGTATTTCGAATTTTATCTAAAATAGATTGAATTTGTTATCAAAAAACGCATTTCTAACCGCGATTATAAATTTTTAAGATGTATCTCAAAATTTATTATCTTAAATATTTAAGATATTTCGATATTTCCAACTAAATTTTATTAAATATCAATTAAGAAACCCATTTATCGCATTCAAAATGTATATTTAGATCAATAAATCAAAAATATCTCAAAAATTTGAGATTAAGTTTTTAAATATTTCAAATTTGATCTAAGATAGATTGAATTTTTCATCAAAAAACTCTTTTCTAATCACGATTATAAATTTTTAAGATATACTAATAAAAATTTGTATAAGAAACCCATTTATCGCATTCAAAATGTATATTTAGATCAATAAATCAAAAATATCTCAAAAATTTGAGATTGATTTTTAAATGTATCAAAATTTATCTAAAATAGATTGCATTTTTTATCAAAAAACGCTTTTCTAATCGCGATTATAAATTTTTAAGATGTATAATAAAAATTTATATCTTATATTTTTAAGATATTTTTATATTTTCAACTAAACTGTATTAAATATCGATTAACAAACTCATTTGTCGCCTTGAAAATGAAAATTGCTTTAAATCGACTCGAAACTCGATGTATTTAGGTCAATGAATCAAAAATATCTCAAAACTTTGAGATTGAGTTTTTAAATATCTCATATTTAATATTGTAAGAAACACTTTTCGATAAATATAATAATTAGCTTTAATTGTAAAAATGTTTTTTTGATACTCTTCAGTGGGAAATTAAAAACTTTTTATCTAATAAAAATATCAAAAAACTTTTCAAATAAAATTTGTAGGTAATTTAATTCTAAGTAAACATTGTTTGAAACATTTTTTGATTCATCCCATAATTATTGACATAACCTCAAAAATTTCAATTTTTATAACAGTAAAGAGCGCCATCTAATGGAGGAATCAAGATTTTGAATTTATAATGATATTCTGGAACATATTTTAAATTAATATTATAAGAAACATTGTTCGATAAAATTAATAATTAGCTTTAATTATAAAAATGTTTTTTTGATACTCTTCAGTGGGAAATTAAAAACTTTTTATCTAATAATAATATAAAAAAACTTTTCAAATAAAATTTGTAGTCGGTTTAATTCTAAATAAACATTGTTTGAAAGATTTTTTGATTCATTTTATAATTAATGATATAACCTCAAAAATATTAATTTTTATAACAGTAAAGAGCGCCATCTAATGAAGGAATTAAGATTTTGAATTTACAATAGTATTCTAGAACATATTTTGAATTAATATTATAAGAAACATTTTTCGATAAATATAATAATTAGCTTTAATTGTAAAAATGTATTTTTGATACTGTTTAGTGGGAAATTAAAAACTTTTTATCTAATAATAATATCAAAAAACTTTTCAAATAAAATTTGTAGCCGATTTAATTCTAAATAAACATTGTTTGAAACATTTTTTGATTCATTTTATAATTAATGATATAACTTCAAAAATATCAATTTTAGAATCAGTAAAGAGCGCCATCTAATGGAGGAATTAAGATTTTGAATTTATAATGATATTCTGGAACATATTTTAAATTAATATTATAAGAAACATTTTTCGAAAAATATAATAATTAGCATTAATTGTAAAAATGTTTTTTTGATACTATTCAGTGGGAAATTAGAAACTTTTTATCTAATAATAATATCAAAAAATTTTTCAAATAAAATTTGTAGGAATTTAATTTTAAATAAACATTGTTTGAAACAGTTTTTGATTCATCCCATAATTATTGACATAACCTCAAAAATATCAATTTTTATAAGAATAAAGAGCGCCATCTAACGGAGGAATTAAGATTATGTATTAATAATATAATTGCGGAACATATTTTGAGCTAATATTATAAGAAACATTTTTCGATAAAAATAATAATTAGCTTTAATTGTAAACATGTTTTTTTGATACTCTTCAGTGGGAAATTAAAAACTTTTTATCTAGTAATAATATCAAAAAACTTTTCAAATAAAATTTGTAGCCCGTTTAATTCTAAATAAACATAGTTTGAAACATTTTTTGATTCATCTCATAATTAATGATATAACCTCAAAAATATCAATTTTTATAACAGTAAAGAGCGCCATCTAATGGAGGAATTAAGATTTTGAATTTATAATGATATTCTGGAACATATCTTAAATTAATATTATAAGAAACATTTTTCGATAAATATAACAATTAGCTTTAATTGTAAAAATGTTTTTTTGATACTGTTCAGTGGGAAATTAAAAACTTTTTATTTAATAATAATATCAAAAAACCTTTCAAATAGAATTTGTAGGTAATTTAATTCTAAATAAACATTGTTCGAAACATTTTTTGATTCATCCCATAATTATTGACATAACCACAAAAATATCAATTTTTATAACAGTAAAGAGCGCCATCTAATGGAGGAATTAAGATTTTGAATTTATAATAGTATTCTAGAACATATTTTAAATTCATATTATAAGAAACATTTTTTGATAAATATAATAATTAGCTTTA